TCTTCATGTAATCTCCATTTAAAACGTAGATTTCACATTAAATTGATAAACAAGCCAAGTCAAGTGAGCAACTAAAGCCAAGAAGATTCTCACTATTTTAAGAGAAAAAGTATCATCAAAATCAATACCTTGTTATTGTAAATATCCTTTTGCTACAAGTCAAGCCTGGATACTTCAATCTACATTAAACTTTATTTTGAATACTTATTTTAATCCAATAGCTTTCTTTTCTTTCGGTAGATCTATTATCTCCCATATTTCATTCTTCTCAAATAATTTGATTTCCTCCTTCATTGTTTTTCACAATTCCTTTTTTTTAACTACTTCCTCAAAAGTTATGATTTGAAATAAATGAAGCAAATATTGAGTCATAAATTTCTGTTAGTAGTTTGATTTTTCCTAGAGAGGTTTCATCTGAGGAATCAGAATTTCAACTACTACTAGGTGAGGTTGACGATGAACTTGTTGGAGTAGGATCTATCACTTAATTCTGTGGAGTGTCTAGTTATGTTGGAATCTGAATTTGTGTTCCACTTTCATTGATCTCCCAATTACAACTTGTCTTTTCATCAAACACAACATTTCTGTTAATAATAAATTTTCCACTAATCGGATTATACAATCGATATACTTTGGATTGTAAGGAATAACCAATTAAGATGTATTTTTTAGATTTTTCACCAAGCTTGTGATGGTTTTATGAATTTACCAAAGCATAAGCAATACAACAAAAAATTCTTAGATACCTTACACTTGGTTTCATACTATACCAAGCCTCAAAATGAGTTTGATTCATAACAACCTTTGTCGATGAAATATTCAACAAATAAACTGTTGTTACAACTACTTCTACCCAAAACTAATTTGGAATATGTTTTCCTTTATGCAAACTTTTTGTCATTTTAACGATAGTTCAATTCTTACATTCAGCTGCACCATTTTACTTTAGTGTATATAGTGTTGTTAATTCTCTACGAATACCATTATCTTCACAAAAAGAATTAAACTCATTAGATAAATATTCACCATATCTATCTGTTTGAAGTGTCTTTATACATCTACCACTTTGCTTTTCTACAAGTACATTAAATTTTTTAAAATTATCAAATGTTTTAGATTTCAATTTCAGAAAATATACCCAACTCATGCGACTATAATCATTAGTAAATAATAGAAAATATTAACTTTTATTAAATTATTTTGTATTCATAGGTCTATATAAGTCAGCATAAATTAATTCAAGATAATTAGATGCTCTCCATGCTTTTTCAACAAGAAATAATTTTTTACTTTATTTGTCATAAATGTATCCTTCACATACATCAAGCGTATTAATTTTAGGTAGTCCGAAAATCTTTTTTTTTTGTTTAACAATCTTCATTAAGGTGTTTATATTTTAAATGTCACAAATCAGACTCATTCTTTTGAGTTTCAATAAGAGCATGCTTTTCAATATTTGAAACATCAAGTGGAAACATCTTGTTTTACATCATACAAGCATTTACCTAATTAATTAAGCTATATTTTTTTTATCTTTAATAGTGCATGAACCATCATCAAATATAACTTAATGTCCATCATTTATCAATTGTCCAATGCTCAACAAGTTATGTGATAAACTAGGAACAAAAAAAATATTATCAAGGTATTTTACCTTCCCTTGACTTATCTTCATCTTAATTATTCCTTTCCCTTCCACTTGAATTTGCTTGTTATCTTCAGGTCTAACTTTCAAGAGTTTCATTAAAATCTCTAAACATTGATCTTATACCTAACATATGATTAAAATATACATTATCCAAAAATCAAATATTATTCTACTCTTGTAATTTTTTATTATAATTTGATTGCTTTTATTCATCATGCCCATCTAAGTGTTATCTTCCTCTTCCATTTTCTCTACCATGAAATCCTCCTCTGCCACATCCTCTTCTTGTTGATTTTTTGTCTTCTTTTTCTTCACTTTTTTCAAGTAACATATTCTAACCTTGCTTCATGTGCTTATGAGGAACCCATTAGTTCATCAAATAAAAATATAGATAAATCTTTTGACTCCTTAAGTACAGCAACAATATGATCAAATTTCGAAGTTAAACTTCTCAAAATTTTTACAATAATTATATGATCACGAAGATATTCACCATAAGATTACATTTGACTAACAATTTCATCACTTGAGAAAGAAAATTTTGTACTAATTTATTGCTTTTTATGAATAAAATTTTAAACTCACGACAAAAGATTTGAAGTTTTACCGTAATCACCCTTGATGAATCTTGAAATTCATTTTGAATCAACCAAGCTTGCTTTGAGGTTGACGCAGCTATAATTCTTGAGAAGATTATCTCATTCAAAGCTATATTGTCCCGTTTAAACTAAAACTTAGCTTTGATACCATAAAATATTGTAGATAGAGGAGGAAAGAAACGATAAAAACAGAATACTATAATACAATTAAAAAGAATCATTTCGATTAAAAATTTTGATATAGTATTTAAACAAGAGGTAAGACATAGAACACTTACAAAATATTCCCAAGTACACATACCGCTCTTGCTCATGAACTATGATCATATTTATAGGACCTAGTGTAACTAGCTCACTTCATCATGTTACCCATGAGTTAGATATAGGAACTACCCTATAACTACTAGATCATAGGTCACTATTTAAAACATGTACTTATAACTACTTAAAACTTGAGAATTACCTAGATAATTACTGTGAATTCTCAATAGAGTACAGTACACCAAAAATGTCAAGTCAGCAGCAATCGCTCATTTGTCCTTCACCATTCGCATATAGTTATAATTAAGCGCTGCAACAGGAAGATGCCCATCAACTGTGTTTGTTGAAGAATGCGATGAGGCCGTCGTAGACGAGCTGCTTGGCATTCACCGCCATCACGAAGTCCATATGTGCGTACTCCTTCACCAGCTGAGCCACGAGCTTGTCGGCGTCATGGTTGCTGAGATCGTTCAACAGCAGCTGCACGTCCTTCACGTCCGACAGCATGTCCCCGCCGCCATAGCTGAGCAGCAGCGGCAGGTCGTGTGGAATGTTGGACATGTGGTATTCGGGTGGGCTGCTCTCCCCATACGCAGCCATGTTGGCCATACTGCTCTCGTAGTCGTATTTTGCTATCACTCCACGTCTGAATGCTGTTAGTACTCAAAGAAAGGTATACATACTCCCTTGTGAGAAAGAAATCTAAGTAGCTCAATTACATGATATTTTAAATTTGTATCAGACTGACTGACTCTGTGAAAAATGGACGAGTGTCCTCACAGATGTAGGCTGGAGTTCATACTTCAAGAAGATGTCAACACTGGAGTAATTAAGGCAGCAGTTTGGCCCTACATCCAAAGCGAGTGTGTGTGCAGAATAAGGAAGGAAAAGTCAATACACATGTAAATTAATTGAAGACTACAATATATATATATATATATATATATATATATATATATATATATATATATATAATTTGCGGAATATTAAACTTAAAGTCAAATCAAACTTAAGTTGCGGAATATTATCACCGGAATAATTTGTCGTACCTGTGAATGATGCCATAAAGTCGTAGCAGTTCACCTCCGGCATGGCGCAGACGGACTCCATAAAATGGGTTCCAACTGGCCTGTTTATCCATTAGGAACGCACTTGAATTAGAAGAGCTTTTACGATAACATCACTCAATATATGGTCGGTCATGTTGATAAGGCCTCTGATGATTTTGTCAGCACATTTCTTCTGACAACAAGAGGGATATGTCAGTTTACGTACCCTTTAGGATTATA